AAAACATTGAACAATGCATGTGAAGGATTTGGTTGAGTGTTGATTAGGAAACACAATGTTGGTTGGTTGTATGATTTTTTTTTATTTTTTTTTAGTGATATGAAGATCATATCATCAAATTCTTTGAGAAATGTTCATGAGTTATTTGAAGAATATTATGAAAGGAATGTGGAATGAGTCTATCTTCTAAAGATGGTAGATGGTGTTATTTCGGATTTCTCAATTGTATGCTCTCAGTTTTAGGTGGACTGCCGAACCTTTTTTCGTGATTTGGCAAAGGCTTCATCTAATGTAGTTCACCAACCTAACTAAGAAAATTGGCAAGGCGCATAAGCTATTGCATGCGGTAATGTGGTGTTAGCCTGTTAGGCAATTCCACGTTATTAGATAACTATGCCTTTTTAATTTATGCATAATTTTATATTGAGATTGGAAAACATTACAATTTCTATATCCATGGAGAATTGCAATAAGGGTAATTTTTCGTGAAATTCACTGGAACATAATAAATGCACCAGAAAAAGCCCCTTTAAAGCTGTCGGAAATTGCAAAGTTGGCCAANAAAGAAGCAAAAATGGAGCTCTATTTAATGCAAAATATAAACTCAAAACATAAAATTGATTATGGGTAACTAAAGCTCGTTAAATTATTAGTAATAAATAAAAGTTCACCAATTAATTTTGGACAATTGGATCACCAGAACACCATTGAATACCATTGAATTTATGTTTTGAATTTGACACAGCGCATTACCAAAATTTAGAAACTTCATCAGTCTAGTCTATTATGAACATTGCATTGGGAGCATTCATTCATCGAAAGATGTCGTTAGGTTGTTCAAAAAAATATCTTTCTACGCATATACTTATTTTTTATGAAAATCCAATTTACTGATCTTAGGTATTAAATTAGCATGGTTTAATGTGCAATTTTGTAAAATCCAGTGGGGAACGTAAGCGATCGGCAGCAGTAGGTGGATGGTTGTTGCCGACAAGATGGGGAAGATGATGAGTTTATAATTTTAATATTTTATACACAAGTTCATCTGTAATTATATAATTTTAAATTATTTAATTTAATGACGTGTCATTATTTTAAAGACTACTGACTTCAGCGTTCAGCCAAGTATAAAAGACCGTCTCAGTACAAATCACCGTTGCAAATGGATAATTTTTCTTTTCTGAGATACTATGATTTATAGATTCATACCCGAGATTAAGCTTTGACTAAGGTTTACTTTGTACATAAAGATTCCCGTGAGTTCTTACATGGACAGCACAACCTTTGGTCCAGTTGACAGTCCATACTCCATAATTCAAACTTCCATTAATGCACCAAATGAGGGCAAGTTGAGAGCATTTAAAGATACAACACACTCACAAATGCCTACACATCATTGACAGTTCTTAAGTTGAATTAATAACTCAATTAAACGATAAATTCGACCCGTTGTCCAAGTTAACAATACAAATTTTGCATCTTTTTTCTCTCTTAATATGATATTTCACTATTATGCATGAGAATAACACTTGGCCACTCAACTTCCTACATGGAAACAACTGGTTTTCTCTTNATGGAGTGAAATGTTTAAAAACCGCACATGCCCAAATACTGTCAATGGGCCCTCACTAAAAAACTTGAACGAGTTATATCAGTAGCTGGAAAAGTTGGCAGTTGGTGTTTGGTTTGAAAAGGCATAGCGGAGTTGTGGTCCGGGCCTGGGCTGTAGCGTCTGTTTAGAGTGACAGCTTGAGCTTTAAATTCTTGAGCAGCCACCCAATTTTGAATTCAATTTTAAAAGGACCTCTATTCAATATCTCATTAATTGAGAAACATTTTTCTTAGATAGAGAGAGGAGAAACTAATGTGAAAGTGGATTTTGGAGTTCTTGGGGCAGTCATGGAACAACTTTTTAGAACGCAATCCAATAGATAATTTGAGTTCTTTCTATAAGTAACTTTTGAGACTGATGATAGTGCAGAAAGAGTATCATTATGTTATGGGGTTTTCTTTTAATCAACAGATACTCTGCAGGTTATTGAACTGAATTGCTCGTAAATGTAGAATTTCCATTTGCTGCTATCTACGTGAATTAAGCAGGAACAGATTAACATATTTCACACATTCAAAGCTCAGAAAAGATGAGGCTCCCATTTGCATGGGAGTGATATTTATCTACAAGTCTCGTAATTTTTCGTGCAAGATTGGAGATGCAAAAGCCGATAAATATTACAGGCAGCAGAGTCTAAAATAGGTCAAAAGGGTAAAATCTAACCAGATATGTTTGCTCCTCCATTCACTTTCACATACCCCAAATACCATGAGCTGGTGCAATTTTACTGTTTGGTCGAGAAGTCAATTCGTACAATATCCGGGCAAATGCATCAGTGTACCTCGTCTCAGAGAAAAGCAAATCTGCAAATACATTTTCATAGGCGGCCAGCAGAGGCTTGTTCTGTGGCTCAGAAACAAGATTCTCAAGTATTAGAGTTGTTTTGCGGCAGATTTCGGGAACTGGGTGAGGTGTCTTGATCAACTTCAGAAGCCGATCCCTGAAAAAAAAAAAAAAGAAAAAAAAATTGCAAGTACCACTTTAAATACAAATTTTACTCAAGGAGGTATGATGTGCTTGGAGCCCATAATATTTTTTTTATTGGGAATAACAACATAAATTATCTCCACATGGTTGGTTTAACTACAAACACAAATGCATGTACACTCATTACAGGATGTTTGTGCTATGATTCTAAATTGTGGACAGGATTCTAAACCTGGACATATGCTTGTGCTAGAATCCAATGTTCATCTTCAGTTCCTCACCAACTTCTGATATTGTTTTGCATGAGCAGTAAATATAACAAATTTTTGCTTCACTTTTACATTAATATTTTTGCTTTTGTTATATATTGGTTTAATAAATATTTGTACTTTTACATGAATACAACTGAATGGCATATTGAAATGCTTCACTTATCGGGACATGTTGAAGATTCACTATATCCAGAACTCTCAATACCAAGATTTTGAATCCACCAAATTCCAAAGACTCCTGGTCCAAACATCCCGTTCTATAATTGAATATCGAAAACTAGTTATATACAAAAACAAATATGAAGTTGATACTTGCTTTTTCTTAAAGTTAACCTCCTTTTCTTTTAGCAATTAGTCAAATCTCAGGATAATATTAATTGGCCCAATTAATAATTCATCTAACCATCTCTCGTTGGCAAGTTTCAGACGGCAGTCCGTGCTAGTTTCTGCATGGTTGTACAGTGCACCAATGGCAGCTGATTGAGCATCACCAACTGGGAAGCTCAACATCTCAACCAATCGCTTATATATCTGCAGGTTTTATGAATCATTTGTTGCAAAGCCACAAAGTTTGTGTCAAGGGCACCATTTAAACATGACAAACAAATGTATGGCAAAAATAGACCTGTGGTAAATATGGCGAGAGAAACTGCTCATTATCAGGGTTGAGTACCATACGGCCAAATAATTCTGCAGCTGCACAATGCCATGCTTTGACAGGGGATCCCAATATTTTCATAAGGGTCTCAACTGCTCGTTTTTCTCTGGAAAAAGAGGAATCGGAAACAAAATTTGTTGGTTGGATCATGAATTTGCAGAGATATGGCGGAAATAAAGTGGCCTGATAAAATCTTACGTCATTTTCACAAAAGAAGTCTTTGACGAGCTGAATATCCGAAGTTCTAGCAACGGGCCCAGGTTCATAATCGTCTCAAGTGCATTCGTGACAAGTTCTTCGTCCTCTGTCCATATTCAAGCAATTTTAAGCAAAAAATGGAATGCTGAGTAGGGTGATGAACTCATCATATTTTCATCCATCACAATATTTCTTCATCACATGATCAGCCGAAATATTGAAGGGATACTAGAAAGTTGAAAAATCTGCCCAAGGTATGGACCAATACCATAAAAAATATCAATAGTTTATTTATATTCTTGTTAAAAACACATATTTAGGGGTAGAATTTGTAAAATAGAAATGAATATCAAAGAATTGTTTTACTTCTCTGCAATACAAAGACCTGTTGGCTTTTGTAATTACACCAATCTTTCAGTGCTCGTAGTATATATGTTGGAACCGAGTCAAATGACTAAGATAGCTTGAGCCATTTGTTCTTGAGCCTTAGCTAACATTTTTGGTAAAGTCAATTCCTAATTTTTCAATGCTTCAGTGGTCTCCCCATCGGAATCTCTACTATTATTTGTGCAGGCGAAAAGTGGACCGACTATTAAATATGTATTGAGAAATTTTAAAGGCCAACACACATATGGGATAATACCCTCCTCTTACAAATGCAAAACCCATCTACGTCCACACTATCGTGGCATGCGAGTTTTCGGTGATTTGATATGTCGGTTAATTTAATAAATATAATTGTTAAGGAATCAACATTTAATAATTCAATTCAAAGACTTTACTAAAGAAATTATTTTGCATTATCTCATAAATTGAAAATGTCTTTGAATCTGTTGTCCGTTATTCTCAAAGGTAAATTATTTGTTCAAACTTGATTAAAGATAGAACTTAGATAGTGTCCTAAATTGTTGGACGAGCCGAAAGGCACGTGTATCCAGTTCAAGTAAAATGGACATAGGAAAACCTTAAGATAAGAAAGGTAAATCTTATTCACTAGAAAGTCTTAAACATTTTTTGTGGTGTTATCTATCAGTACCTAGTACCTAGTGAAGATCGAGAACCACTAATTATGTCAAAATGTTTCAGGAAACCAATCGACAAAGTGATAGGTAGGTTATAATCTAGAATGGGTTTCTGCTAGGAAAGTGGTGACTATTGCAGTAATAGTGTTCTATTGAATAAAATTTTGATTTTGAGAAATCGCCTTTACATGCCATGTATTAAAAAGAATTCTGTTTCAGTTTCTAAATTGTGTATGTATATTAAGTTTTGTTTGATGATAATTCTGTTGTTTTGAAAATGAAGCATTTTATCCATTTCGTACGTGGGTGGGTAGATGTTTTGTGAACTCAAGTAACCAAAATGCCTCACTATTTCGGCATCCAGTGATGATAATTTTAGCATTAGTAAGATTCAATGGTGGACAGCAAATGGACTTATGTGTCCGTTAGAAGTGGATTAAACTATAAGACCTAGGAGTTACACTTAGAAGCTAAAATAACTGCAAAATTTCAAAAAAGATACACCAAGTTGGGCGTTGTCAAGAAACCAGACATTGTGTTGTCTCTAACAAAAAAGATATATTTAATTGTCAGTTTGGCCGAATAAGATGCATTAATCACCCATGCAGATAAAATACTGATGTAGACGGATAAGGTAATGACGTGTCATTTAACATTTCCTTAATTTCATATGTATTATTTACGGTGTGATGGCATCCTTATTGCGAAGCAAGTCACCTAGATAAAATTATTAAAAAAATCAAAAATAAATATATAAATAAATAATGAAGACAAATCAACAAAAAAAGGCGTGTTGGCCATAAGCAGTATCACCCAGATCACTAGCACTAGGTACAGAATCGCCGGCCACATGGACAGAAACCAGCGAGGGAACCTCGATATTAACCACTTTAAACTTGGTCCTATAATTTGACAATTTTCTCACCTAAATCGACAGGGTCAACACTATAGTTGTAAACAAGTCAAAACATTTTTTATTTGATTCGTTATTCGTATTCGTAGAAAAATGGAATTCGAATTCGAATAATAGTGTTTAGTATTCAAAAATTATTCGAATCTAGATCCGAATATACACATATTCAATTCAAAATTATCGAATATTCGATTCGCTAGTAATAATTATATGTAATTTAGTATATTATATCTAATATAAGATTTTATTCATATAATATAATAGAAATAAATATATTAAAATAAATATAAAAAAACAAATTTAAATTAATTTTAAAATATATATACCATATCAAAATATATAAATATATATAAATATTTATAAATAATTTCAAAATCAACCGCCACCTCTGCCTGACGTCCGCCGGTCATCGACCGACCACCTTTGATCGGAAAAAAATTTACATCACCTTGAAACTCTTCTCGGCCTCGTTCACCTCTTAAACCTCGGTGAAATTTCCACCGATAAGGCCCTAAATTTTTCCGGTCAAAGTTTTTAGATATAGAAAGTTCCCGTAAAAATTCAGTCCTCTTCAATTTTCCGGCGATTCACGGCGACCCACCAAAACGAAGGACACCTTCGGACTCCTTGTGCCGTCGCGCACCCAACGACGTCCACCATCTTTGGAACTAACGACTTTTTTCGTCAGCCGATAGCTTGAAAATGCTTCAGGAGGTGAATTTTCGCAAATATTTTTTCGACAGTGCAGTTGACATCGTGTGATTTTCCTATTGCAAATATGTGTCGAGAAATTGGGGGCATCAACATAGCCACCCTTCCAATGGGACGAAACAGGGGACGTCAAACACGTCGGCGAGGCCCAACAAATTGGGTATGCGAGTGGTGTGGGGGAATCGGATGGCGTCAGAACAACGAAGAAGACGACGAGAATGCGGCTAAGGGCGGCAACCTAGGTGAGGGAGAGGACGGAGAGTTCTCCTGGTACGGCTTATTTTTTTATAATTGACATTTTATTTTTTATTTTAATTAATCATAACTAATGAGGATGCCACATAATTTTTTTTTATAATTGACATTTATCATTATTTTAATTTTTTTTTTAATAATTTTATCTAGGTGTAGGTGTCTACTTGGCAATGAGGGTGCCAGGCCACGCCATGTAAATAACAAAAAATTAAGGAAATGTTAAATGACACATCATTACCTCATTTGTCCACGTCAGCATTTTATCTGGTCTTATTCGACGAAATTTACAACTAATGTATCTTTTCTGTTAGAGACAACATAATGTCTCATTTCTTAACAACGCCCAACTTGGTGTATCTTTTTGAAATTTTGCCATATAATAACCAAAATGGCTTTTTAAAGGCCATGAGGTATAAAAGTCAAATGAATGTTAGGAATAGATCATCCGATTTGTGCAGTCCTAGGATTTTTCGAACAAATGGTAGTTCCGATTATTTTTTCTTTGTCAAGAAAAGTTATTTACAACACGGTACATTAAGTGACATTCCATAAGCTTGAGTAGTTCAATAGAGTACAAGCGCAAATGTGGAAGACATCAAAGTTAATGTATCGGTGGTATTGTGATCGTAATAGTGGTGACTTAATACTTTTTGAAAAAACATGGGAGTTAGTTATATCTGGGATTTGGTTCCAACGGGTTGCACCAAATTTACCCCAACATCACGGTGTAGCAGAACGAAAAAAAAAAAAAATGTTTATTAGGTAGAATAGTTTGTGTCGATGATGAGTTACTAAGAATTCTTCTAATTTTCGTTTTGGAGTTGTGCAAATAGTGACATAAGCTCTGAACATTGTTCTATATATAAGTCAAAGTCAGTAGTTTTTACTCCGAATGAATTGTGGACAGGACGTAAGCCTAATCAGGTACATATTCGATATTTGGGGTGTTCCGACATACCAAATGGAAAGTTGATATATAAGATTGGAAAAGTTGTTCGAAAAGTTGGTTGTTTGTGGGATACCCCATAATAACAAAAAAAATGTGGAATATACTAAAAATCAGAGGGTGATTCGTTAACACGAATGCCTGAATTTTAGTGGAATAGTAAGTGATAAACCACAAACCCATTTTTAAAATTGTCATAAAGAAAGCTTAAGATAAGGTTCAACTTCAGCACCGCGTGTACAAAATGTGATACCGCAATAAAAATGCGAACATGCATCATGAGTAATACATTCGTGTTATTGAGTCTTTGAAACATGAAACTATGAGTTCATGTTCTTGAGAAAGTCTTTGGACTTAGTCTCTAGTGTACTTGAAACTAAATTCCTAGTTATACAATAAGGCGCTTCGAGACAAGTATGCAAAACATTAACAAACAACAATGATTTCTAATTTAGGGTCTTTGCTCTAATCATGTAAGATCTTGTAGAATCACCAAGTGGCGTAAAGGTCATTAGGCGAAGTGGGTCTATAAGTAAAATCGTGAAGACGTCAAAGTGAGACTCGTTGTGAAATAGTTAAGTCAGAAAGAAATAGATCCATTATGAGTTAACTTTTTCGCCGGTAGTTATGATTAAGTCAGTACGAATTATGGTTCTAGCCGCTCATATAAGCTATGAGATTAGGCGAGCCGGATGTCGAGATAGTTTTCTTAAACGGATGTCTGGTGAGAATATCCATGGAACAGCACCCGGAAGTGTTCCTTGGGAATGGCTCAGATTAGTCTGCAAACTATAATAATCAATTTGTGGACTGAAGTAAGTTTTGTTATCTGGTACAATGAAGTAGTCCATTTCATGGATTTCATCAATCATCAAATGAGCACACTATGTGTATAACAACAAAAACGTGGTGGAATTTTTTTGTGATGTGCGTAGACGGTGTTCCGATCACTAAAAATAGTGTGAAAATGTTGTCAGATGCAGTTAGATATGAAGGACTCGGGAGAATCGACACATGTTCTTGAGGTCAAGAATCACAATAAAGAAATGATGCGTTTATCCCGATCTTCGTGTCTTAATATTGTCATAAGGCTCATTCTTAACATGCACAACTTCGAGAAGGTTTGTGAATCTTCCCGTGATGGAGTTCCTCTGTTTAGCATAGCAGATATCTTGGAAGAAAAGTCTAAGGAGATAAAGGACACAGTAGGAGTTCCTTATTCTTGATAGAAAGCCTTATGTATGCAATGCAGTAAATGATGTCCGATATCTATTATTGCCACGAACATAGTTAGTAGATATCGAAGTAATCCTAAACGGGCGCGTTAATTTGCGGTAAAACATATAGTCAAGTATACCGTAAAAGGACTAAGGATAATATGTTGGGTTACAGATGAACCATATACGGCCTATGTGTTACAAAGGATTCTAATTTCTAATCAGACGTTAACAATAAAATTTACCTCAAGTTGTGCTTACTTTGGGAGGAGGAGCAAATATGGATGAGTCTCAAGCGGTAATTCATTAACAAGTTCCAGCATTGAAATTCAGTATGTCGCAGGCTGAGTAGCAAGCGAATATAAGAGGTTTGACTCCGAGAACCTCTATTGGACTGGGAATGTGAATTCCTAGTTTGCTCAAGTCATGTCACAATTTGATTGTGATGTCGATTGGTGCAGTTGCAAAAGTGAAGAAATCACAAGTTCATAAGGCAAGTAAGCACACAGTGCAAGTACGACTCGATGCAAATGATCGCAAAAGGGTGGATGTTGTGTCGCCTAGTTACATTAGTGGACAACCAAGTAGATACTATTAGAAGTGGATTTCTAGTGAAATTCAGATTATAGCCATGTTAAGAGATTGGGAGTCAAAAAGTAGGACAACAGTTCTTTCAAAATAAAGATTGAAAGAACGTATACTTAGTATAGACGAAAGCTTTAAAGTATAAATGGGAGATTGTTAGGATATACTGTAGAAATTCGGTTTTGTGTTAGCAACATTCCATTTTGAATGAGATTCATGTTTTAGTCAAGTGTATGTTTGCAGTTTATATATTTATGCAAACATGGTTCATTTATTTTACATTGTAGATAATATAGTTCAATATATCGAACACAAAGATCACATTATCGATGTTTTGTAAAACATAAATTATTGGTTCACAACCTAAACAAAATTGAACTAACTGTATTGTAGTGTGATTTTCAAATTAGTTAATCTTCGACTAATTAAACTAGTACGTCTCTGAACGAACCACGAAATTATTTTATACTGCCCAAGTAAATAATCTTGACCTTAGTTGTTGTCGCGTTCTCTTAACCCGTAAAATAATAAAAGGGTGTATGTATTCATTTATTATTTATTTGATTTACCATGAGTGAGGTTTTATTGCGAATCAACAACCTCCGTATTTTGGGCTATGTTTGGTAACCAAATAAGTTAACTTGTAGCTTATTTAATTAGCTTATAAGCTCCCTATATTCAAGTAAGCTTTATGGTAGGCTTCTTTGCGTAGGTTTTTTGGGTAGCTTTTCAAATAAGCTCGTTGAAATTTTTATTCTCACTAGCTTATAAGTTAATTTTACCAAAGTCATATAAGCTAGCTTTTCAGCTATAAGTCATAAGCAATAAGCTATAAGCTCGAAAATCACTTTTAAGCTATAAGCTAGCTTATCAGCTAGTAAATAATTTCAATTACATGATGTGCCGTTAAAATTATTTACAGTTGTCCCTGCGCGTCAGGTTAATGACGTCCTCGAAATGAGCTCAATATTATGTCAAGCTCGGCCGACGGATTGTATTTCGCTATAATAATAAACAGTTGCATGGAACTAATTTCGGATCAAAAAGTTCATTAATTATATTGTCAGTAATTAAATTAATCAATAAGTATGAATGGAGTAGGTAGACCAGTTATGTTCACACTTGAGGAGTTCTTATTTAACACCTCCTTAGGATCCTTGTTTTGACCTATAAATACACCGAGTCTCTAAGGCCTCATATAAGATTATTCACGTGTATTTCACGAGAAGAAATCAATTTTATCATTTTTGCAAAAAAAAACGTAAGGTAGAGAGAAGAAAATCGTGAGATCTAGGCAGGCAAGAACATCGAAGACAATCCAATCTTCTTTATTCTATCCCAAAGATCAGTCAATGTGAGGTTTGGGAGATCCGATGAGTCGTTCACCAAGACGTCTCGGAGAGGTCATACAATAGAAGATCCCGAGGTTGACGAGCTAGAACCACACAGATGCAGCACGCAGCTAACGCGCGACGCATTTCGGCAGCCTTAGTCACTTAGGCCGACGCAGTCGGGCGACTCGCGTTGGCCGAACTCGGCGACTCACGGACGGTGATCAGAAGGCATCGGATGAGGACAAGAAGTCAAAACCTTAAGCCGTTTTAGTCCAGAGTCTATGATTTTTAAACCGTAAGTTCTCAATCCTAACATCCGTTGGGCTAGGATTCATAGATTCCGTTTATATGATAGACGTTCTACATAGAAAGAAATATATATTGTGCAACCTGAAGGTACTAGACATGAAACCGACAAGTGGATAAAGTGTGTAAATTGCGGGAACTCTTTGTACGGCACACCTATTCAATGGGATGAAAAACTTAACACTTTAGTTGCTGATGGGTTTATAGTAAATGTCATAGTTTAAAATGGCGACGCCTCGAGGCGAGGCCACCGAGGCGAGGGCCACTTCGCCTCGCCTGAGGCGACGCTGTTCGCGAGGCACTCGCTTCAGGTCGTCTCGGCTCGCCTTTTCGCGTGGCGACAGGCGCCTGTGAGGCACGCCTCGGCGCCTTTAAGAGGAATTAAAGGGGCAGTCCATTTTAAAAAAAAAAAGAAAAAGAAAAGAAAAGCGACACTTTTTGGAACGAGAATAAAATTAAAACATATTGAAAGATTGAAAGAAAAAAAAACTTCAGTGAAAAATCTCTATATAGCTTCTTCCCAAACTAGGGTTTCTATGAAAGAACTCCCTAGGCTTCTCGAATTTGAAAATTGCAGAAACCCATGGCAGACTCATCCCATTTACGGCCTCCTCTGAACTCCGGCCACCATCTCGCCACCGCCAAGACGGTCGGTGATGCATGCCTTTTCCTTTCTTTTCCTTCTACCTTTCTCTTTCTCCCATTCCCGTTTCTGCCGTCTCTTTTTCTACTTTCTTCCATTTTTACTTTATTTATGTTTACTAGTATGGTCAATAGTCAAAGGTGAAAGGGTGCAACATCTTTTCTTTCATTTACTTTTATTTTATACTTTTTATTTACCTTCTTTAACTTTTTTCTATTTTATGTTTACTACACAGTGTAAATTCAATATTTTTGCTTTGTAATGTTACTAGTATTCACATTTAAGTTTTAGATGCTTTTAGTAATTACTAGTATTCACATTTAAGTTTTAGATGCTTTTAGTAATTACAACTAAATTTAATTTATATTTTTTTTTGGATATTTAACGTTATTTTTGGTACTTGAACTTAAATGTATGAGTATATATATAGGATGTGATTCAAATGAGAACCAAGTCCTAGCGTGAGAACCGCTATTTTTAATTGTATGAAGTGCTATGATTGGTTGTAATTTAGTGCTATTTTTAACTAGGATATATTTTATTAAACATAGCAAAACAATTTATATTAGCATTTGTGAAAATGATAGCATCATGTAATATTAAAAATAGCATCATATACAATTAAAAATAGCATTAAATATGGTTCTCACGGTTCTCACACCAGGACTAGTTTTTAATTGAATCAGCCCTTATATATAAGCTTTGATGGCTTGTGTTGCCGAGGCCTCGCCATGGCGATTCGCCTCGCCTCGTGGCGAGGCAATGGGCCAATCGCCTCGCCTCGCCATTTAAAACTATGGTAAATGCATATGATTCTTGCATGTATTATAAATGTCTTGATTCTCTTGAATCCAAAACTATGATTATTTGTCCATATGTTGATGATTTGTTAGTCTTTGGTACTGATGCCGATGTAATAGTGAAAACTAAGAATTCCTTACCTTCCAAATTCGATATGAAAGATTTGGGGGAAGAAGACGTGATTCTTGGTATAAAATTAGGAACGAATGGCATTTTTACTTGGACCTTTGTTTAGCCGAAATCATTTCTAAGGGCACTGGTTTATTCCACGCCACAACTTTTATTTATTTTCTTTCCCATCGCATATGGTTTCAATATTTTTCTAACAGTATTAATCTAGATTATGATGAGAACACCATAAGCATATCAAGGTAAATACTAAATAGAACCCTTCCTAAATTAAAGCAGACCAAGAAGAAAAAGAAAAGAAAAATAATAATAACAAGAAAGAACGAGAACCAGTTGTAGACACAAACTCAATTTGTTTTTCACCTGTGGCATAACCTTCCAAGCAATGGAACAAAGTCTCAAGACAATGACGATTTTGGCCCATGGCAACTTCATTATCAGGCATGAAGGAAAAGTTCCGAATAATATTTGAAGCAGCAACAGCACACTGTTGCTTTTCTGCCCTTCCCTCATCAAGATTAAAGAGGCCATCTTCCTCAAGCCACCAACATGAAGGGCGAGCTTTAGGAGTAAGTTTCTGTGGAGACACATCTTTATTTGAGAAACCAGATACGACACTGCAAGTGATGCCAAATACATGAGTTTTCCTTTCACAAGGTTTATGGAACTACACTGAGGTTCAGACAAATATCAACTAGTAAAAAAAATCACAAAGCACCAAAAACTAGCTACCGTGGAAATTTCAAGAACCACCCTTGAGGTTGTTATCCCTTCTACATTTTACACATGAGGGGAGCTAACAGGCGTTGTGAACATTCCAGATATTTTTGCAGTTACATCACACGACTTATTCTAATTGCACATAAAACCATTTCATCTGGCATCTACATGTCTTAGTTTTCAGAATATTATAAATGACTAAGCAGATAAACTTAGGACTAACTGAATATTTTGAAGTGGGATATAATTCTCAAAAAGTTGATTCCACCAGCAAACTATGTCAATTCTTGTAAGGGAAGAAAACGTAAAGATGGAATCTAACCTCAACAGTTGTTCTAATAACATAAGGGGGTTTCTAATCATAATTTGGCAAGCTTTGAGTATTCATCATTAAGTTGCATTTGTGCACTCACCTAGGATACATAACAGAATCAGTATCATATTCATTCCCAAATCCAGTAACTCTAGCATTTGCACGAACCGTCTGTGTCTTTTTTAGGACTTTCTGGAAGGATAGATCACGCCAGTCATCTATCTGCTCATAATAAAATCAATCTCCAAGTAAGCAACCAGGAGCGAGAAATTTAATAATTTGACTGAATCCGAGTATAGAAAGAAGACATACAATTTGAAGTAGTGCGTCTAGCAAGCCCGGGATCTTAGCAAGAGGAATTGCGTCTTTACGGACATCATCTTTCTCTTTGAAGGAAAGCAACGTGAGAGCATTCAGAGCCCATGTCAGCTCACTCTTCAGGCCACTTTGAAGTGCCAAAACAATTCTTTTGCTATTCTGCTCTGAAATTGATAGTGAGGTTTTAGAATAAAATTAAAGCCAAATCAAACTGTCCAAAAAGGTAAAATTCAATCACTCAGAATGCAAGTATGAAAGTGCAACCTAAGGAATCCCCTATAATCGATACCTTCGAAATCAATCTTCCGTGTGCAATTAAATTCTGAAAAAAATAATTTGCAGCAAAATCCGAGCTCTCATAAACTCAATTCTCACCATAGTTCCATTAGGTAGAACGAATGTCAAGGATCCCAATCAACAATTCACAATTGAAGACAGTGATTTCGAATAACAAGCAAAAAATGAAAAGAGAAAAAACACATACACACAGAGAGTATAAGGTTCGAGAAAAGGCTTACCGGCGAAAGCAGAGTGGACCTGGAGTGAGGGGCCGAGGAGGGTAAACGGGGCAGCGGAGTCACCTGAAGCGGCAGCGGCAGCAGCGGCTGATGCGCTGTTGCCTCCACTTCCGAAAGGACGGCCTCTCTTGGCGGTGGGGGTGGCGGCGCCACCTCCGGAGGCTCCGCCCGGCTTGTTTAGCTCTCTCTTTTGCATCACTTACTTCCAGGGCCCAGTGCTTGAGCCTGGAGAAATGAGTTTTTTTTATGAGATAACTGAAAAGGTTTCAAAGTCAGCCCATGAAGAGCTTGATAGTAGCAGTTCGTATTGGGCTCACGCAACAAATGAAGTTTGGGCGTTCAGAAACTAAAAAAGAGTATGATATAGGCTTAAAGACCAAGAACGTCCAATATTTGGATGAATACCTTTTNAGTATTTTTTGGGTGCGGTGAATAGTAAAATTAGGTGCGGTGAATATTAACACCCTTCTACAAAACAACGAACAATGCATAAAAATGGGAAAAAAATACTGCTGCAATTGTATTCATAGAATATCTCTACTATTAAATCTATCATCATTATCTTCTATAAATTCTTTTAGATTATTTTCAACTTATCTTAAGTTTATTATATTATCTCATACTTTATTAAAAATAATTTTTTTTAAATTATTTTCAGTTTATCTTAAATTTATTATATTATCTAGATATTTTATTTGAAACAAATTTTGAAACTTCTAGTTAATCTTAAGTTTATTATCTAATATTTAACTAAGTGACAAAGATTTAATAGACAAAAAAATCAATCAAAGAAATAAAGTGAATATAAACTACAAATAAAACAAAAACAAAAAATTCCAATTAATAACCATAGTCAAATCTTTAATTATATATAAACATCAAATTAACTTCCAAAATCATTCAAAACACAAATATATCACACAAATTATTCAAAAATTTAACAAGAACACAAATGACTTCCCCAGGCAAAGTTCCCTTCGATATGCATATTTCTCAACCTTGAAATGTCTTCCCCAAACCCACCTACAACATTTGTCAGCAACCTCTTAAAGAAATTAATGGCATCCAATTTCTAAACTTGGGCGGTCGACAGCTCTACCAGCACTTCGCCAACGGCCGACAGATCGTCGAACACCATGGCCCGACCCAGACGAACAATATTACATGACCCGCATAGGATATGGTCATCTGCACGGTTTGCTTCTCAGGCCTTGGGCCGCTAGAATTCCATCATCAATTTTTTAGATCTTAAATCATAGATCTAAGATCAGTGAAACCTCCTCGACAAAAAAATAAAATTAAAATTTATTAAACCCTAAATCAGTAAACCACACCTTGAGGCGACAAATGGTGTAGGCGACGGGAGGAGGGAGTCGGAGAGGGAGAGGATCTCAAAGCAAGGGTGACATTGGTGGCGATTCTGGTGGCTCCGAGATGCAGACAATCCGTTGGCGTCGGGAACCACCCCACAGGCAAATGAGTAGAGCGCGAAGGAGAACGCCGCCCATGGTCATAGGAGGGGAGCAAGTTGCGGCCGAGGCGGAGGGGAGCAAGCAGCGGCCGATAGGCGAAGAGGAGGATGGGCCCCGAAGAATGATATGATTTGCTTCTAGAAGGGGAGGACGGGGAGGATTAAAGCAGATCTGTGGTGTGTTTGGTGTTTTACAGAGATACTTTAGGCCTTGGGGTTTGTAAGGAGATAATTAGCAAGTGTTAACATCCAAGAGTCACTTCTGGAATTAAAATGTTAAAAAATTCGTAATTAAGAACCAATTAACATAGAAGTGAATTGAAACTTTTCAATTCGCACTTCGGGAAATAAAAGACATGCAGTGGTGGACGGGGTAATTACCTCAATGTTCTGCGCATAGATCTATAGTTGTGTTTAAAACTGATGCAGGTTCATCCTAAGGAGATTGTTGAAATTGAAGTTTGACATTAAAACGATCAACTCTAAATTGAGTCAATGAAGCTTCATCGGACGAGTCTGCAGGCAGAATTATTTAAGGGAAGTGTACCTTACACGATCTTTCTTAGTTCCATAAATACTTAAGGATACTGTGTTTATTTAATATGATGATTGATTGTGTGAAGGTTCAGTTTTAAGAATCCTTGCTTCCGCAATTGAATGAACTGTCATTTAAGTGTACTGATTATTACGTTTTGCGCTATTCTGGTTGTTAGTGTATATTCTTACACAACTTCACTACTGTTTCGAGAGACTCAACTCTCAATTCATCAACCATTTCTCGAGCTCAAAAAAACATGAGAAGACATACCTAGCTTTGATCAACATACAACAGAAAGAAGGAGAGTCCCTCCAAGATTATGTTGCTTACTTCACCAACAAGTGTGTAGAGGTTCCCTCAACCTCAGAGGAGATCAAGATAGAAGATCTCCCTCGAGGTATCTGACGAGGACCATGTCGGAACTCATTAGCTAAGAGACCATCGAGATCTTGTGACGAGCTTCTGGCCAGGTGTAGAAATTGTTAGAGTAGGGTACCCGGCGTTCCAATCTAATTGGACGTATTCTACTTGTAAATACAGTCTATTGGAATTATATTATGAATAAGGCATTTCTTTATCTTAAGAGAAAGCATTTATCTTATAATTGCACTTAAGATAAAATCCCTAGATCACTTATGGTTATAAGGTATGGTTGCGCATAGAGATGGTGATCATGGAACATACCTTGAAAGC